TATGTACATGTTGAAGTGCAATTTTACCTGTCAGTTTCAAATGCAAGAATATGTAAATGAAGTGATGTTTCCTGCAAGAGTCAACGAAGAAGTTATGGAGGTCAGCACAGTAGAGATTTGTTAAATGCCACCTTTATTCTTAGCACTGGGTGTGTGACAGACATCGGGGAGTACCTTCTAACACTGAGCTATACAGAACATAAAACAGTTACCTGGGGATTTTCCGGACTCAGAGAGTGGCTTCTTTGGAGATCCGGCCTGTTCTGTCAGTGCCTCTGGTCTCCAGATGGCTAGGAGTCTTTCGATACCTCACCTGTTCTTTCAGATTATAGCTGTTTTGATTTTCAGAGGGATTCAGATTTAATATGATGCCTTTAGTTTTCAAAGTGCTCTCACACCCATTGTCTCAGTGCTTTGCAAACCGTGTTCACTGGTAGTCCTAGAGCCAGTCCCTGCCCAAGTTTATTAATAGCAGTCTTCACCGTTAAAAGCATATCAAATGAATAAAAAGAATTGCCTAAATTTTTAATTTTTCATGTCTCTGTTTTACTTGTTGAAAATAAAGTTTCAGCCAGGCAGTGATGGCACATGCCTTTAATCTCAGAACTTGGGAGGCAGGGGCAGGTGGATCTCTTGTGAGTTTGAGGCCAGCCTGGTCTACAGTGAGCTCTAGGACAGCCAGAGCTATACAGTGAAACCCCATCTCAAAAAACCAAAGAAGAAGAGGAGGAGGAGGAAAGGAAGAAAGAAAGAAAGAACGAAAGAAAGGAAGGAAGGAAGGAAGAAAGAAAGTAAAGGAAAAGCCCAAATACAAAGTTTCACATTAAAAAAAAAAATTGGATATGGACTTTTTTGAGATGCAGAGGTCTTTTAATAAAAGCCATGTTTGTTCCTAGTGAAGTCTGCTTATTGTGTACAGTACAGTATCATGTGACATTTCACAAAGATGAACACAATTCTTCTAGGCTCTTTGCAATTTCAGCCTCAGAGCAAAGTTGAAAACCCCATCTTTTTATTCTACAGCTACCCTATGAGGTAACCAGGGCTGAAAGGGAAACTGATTAAGGAGAGATATATGTCTGTGAACAAGGGGCTAGTAAGTGTCCTGAATCCAGTTCAACTCTGCATTTAACATTATTGGACTCTAGAAATAAAAGGAAGAATGAGACATAGCACATGTTACATGAATTGAGGTAGTGATTTGACTGCCATCATGGATCCACAATAAGGGCGTAAACAAGATAGAAGTTTCTTTCTCTTTCATATGGAAGTCAACTAAGTATACCATCGTTTGTTTCCCATACTTCTTGTCCTGCTTCTCTCATCGACTGTGATGGCAGCTCCTTCCTTAACCACCATGTCCACAGTCTAGCTGTCAGGGGGTGATGGGCAAGTAGCCAACACGCTTGTTTCCATTAAGAATATATTCAAGATGCCAGGTGGTGGTGGCGCACACCTTTAATGCCAGCATTTGGGAGGCAGAGGCAGGTGAATCTCTTGTAAGCTCAAGGCCAGCCTGGTCTACAGATAGAGCTCCAGGTCAGGTAGTGCTACATAGTGAGACTCTATCGCAAAAAAAAAAAAAAAAAGCAACAACAAAATAATATACAAAGCAATTTCTTTTTTTTAACCAGGTGCTATAACTACCGTATACTGGACGTTACAAACATTTTATTTTTATAGTTAAAGCTGGTATATTCAATTTAATTTTCATAATATACTGGTTGTTAAAGATGTAGTTTAAGAAATCAGAGACTTAGAAAGATTATTGACTTGACCGAGTGACTGGTGACTTCCAGAGCTAGTATTTGAACTAAAGATGGTCAGAACCCATATAACTTTAGGGTTTCACTATGTGCCTGGCTGTACTGGAACTCACTCTGTAGACCAGTTTGGCCCTGAAGCCACAGAAATCTGACACCTTTGCCTGAGTACTGGGATTACAGGCATGTGCCACCTCTGCTCAACATTAGTTTTCTATCTGTGAAGGGTAACAATGTTGACATTTTTGTACAGAGGTGGTTAATTTCTTTTGTGATTCATTCTGATGACTATGGGAGCCTAAGGTGGACCGCACTTCCCTGGGCCACCTCTGTAAATCCAGGTCAGCCACAGCAGTGCTGAGGTTTGTTGGACAGTAGCCATTGTCCCTGGCACTTTTCTCCTAGCCTTCCATCCTTTCTTGCCTAACTACCCTCATGCTGTTGGGGTTGGCTTCCAAAGCACAGCACTGTTCATGTATATCCCTTTAAGATGTCTCTAATAATTCCCCATGGCATTCATTAAGGCCTGATCTCAAGCAGTAGGAATAGAGGAGAGGATGGATGTGGGGGTTTGAGGAGAGTGCAATGAAATTATATAAACTAGGGGAAAGTGGTGTAGCTCAGTGATTGATCGTGTGCTTACAATGCACAAGGCCTTGAGTTTAATCCCCAAATAACTCTCCCCCCCCCCACACACACACACACACACACACACACACACACACACAAGTGTTTTGTTTTGTTTTTTAATAGAAACTAGCATCTGGTATTATATTCAGTTAAGCTTTTGCTAGCTGTGCTGTGCCCTGGCTCAGAACTGAAGTTTACTATCACAAAAGTCTTCTGATAATATAGTCAGGCAGATGTGGAAAAATTGCATGGGGGGTTGGGGTGGGGTGGGGGGGTGAAAGGTTCAGGCTTTAATGCTTATCGGCTCTGCCTCTTTAAGAGACAGATCCCACCCCCTGACAACAGTCAGGACACGCACAGGGACATGCCGTCACCACTTCACCCACCACGCATTTACAGCCTGTGTGAGGACTCTGAGCATGTGTGGAACCTCAGTGCGCATGTGCAGTCTTCCCTTTAAAAATTCCAACTTCCCTGCTTCTCTCTCTCTCTGCTTCTTCTTCGCTCTCTCTCTACTCTCTCTGCTCTGCTCTGCTCTTCTCTCTCTATGGCGACCGGCCATGGCGGTCAGCCATTAACTTTGTTTCTCTTCTCTCTTACTCCCTCTACTTTGCCGGGCCCATAATAAATTGGTTAATGTGTCTCATCTTGAGCCTCCTCTTTTTCTTTATATCTAATTTAAACAAAAACATAACAGGGGGATATGCCAAGAGGGATACTGGAGTCAGCTTTCTTTGTTCTCCTAAGGCAGTACCTCTGAAGGGGCCTGGCACTTCCCTTGGCTACAGAAAATCTCCTTCAGTCCTCAGAGGTTCCTCCTCTCTTCTCTGCTGGAATCTATACCCTTTGCTTCCAGACCTCAGTCTTCTCCCCTGCACTGACTGCAGTGTTAATGGACATGGTGAAGAATCCTTCTTGCTATGTTTGGCCAGGGAACTGCTGATCTTATGGTTGACTTCCCACTCATGGTAGGGCCTTGAACCCTGCTGAGGCCACTCCTGTTGAAACTCCAGTAAGAGAAAGGAGCCTGCTCTAGATAAATATCTATTGCAGTTAAGCAATTCTAGATTTTAGTTCCTGAAGTCTATCTTTTCTGGCTATGTAACTCTGGAAGACAAACCTTAATATTTCTGGCTTCATATTTTTCTCACACAAAGAATCACGATTAAAGTAGGAGGATGTGCTGCTCTGTATTAACCACTTTCCATACGACATTTTGTTCAATTCTCAGAGCATTTTGTGGGATTGGTTTTGTCCTCAGGATTACTGTATTTGTAAGTCCCTTCCTGTGTGCTCCCCCTCTCTCTCCATACTGGATACCTGCTCTCTTCAGCTAACCTGGAAAGTGCTGCTTTGGCAGGAATAGTACTGTGGCAACTGCTGTGCAGAGGAGACTGAAGTTACATAAGTCTTAGGTTTTCTTTTTGGAAACAGGGTCTTACAATATAGTCAAGGTTGGCCTTGAACTTGTGACCTTCCTGTTAGTTTCATGGGTGCTAGGATTATAGGTGTTCACTACCAGGATTGGCTCCCCCAACTCTCTCCTGGTGCTGGGAATTCATTGGGCCCTCTCGAAACTAAGAACAAGCTTTTTATCACTGAGCTGTACCCCAGCCCCGAATATTCTTTCAAAATGACAGAACAAATCTCCAGTTATTATTGGAAACAATGTGTTATCAACTCAAGCATGGACACAGCACCCAACAGAACGGAATACAAATACAGAAACATCTGACCTGTGGATATTTAGTATAAGACAGAAGTGACAATGCCTTGCTGTGGTGCTGGGTCATTTGGTCACGTGAAAAAAAGATGACTCTTGATTCCTGTTTCATGGCAAATTAAAATGGATTGTATGGCCTGCTGCCAAGCCTCATCCCCAGAATCACTTGGTGGAAAGAAAATCAATCCCCACAGAGTCTGTCCTCTGACTTATACTCATGTACCATGTCATGTGCTTGTGCACACACACACACACACACACACACACACACACACACACACTCTTTCAAAGCAATCAAACAAAAAGCACCTCAGGTTGAAGACATAGCTAAGAGATAGAGTACTTACTAAGTTTAATAACCAGCACCCAAGAAAAAAAATTTTTTTGCTATAGCATAACTATCAGTTTGCAAATTGAGAAACAGGGCTAGAGATAGGAGGTGAGCCTCAAAACAAGATAGTGACAGAAGTCAGTCACATGCAGTCTTGTTAAAATAATACCAGCTGTATTCTTGTACTGGCCACTGCTGAGGGGAACTGTCTGTTACTTCCAGTGAGAACTTTAGCATCTCAAAAGGGTGACCTTTTGAGGAAAAAATGATAAACAATTTTACTTGAAAGGTTGCCTTTCAAAAACATGAACACATTATGATTAAATTTTTTCTTTTGGGGGAGATTTTTTGTTTGTTTGTTTTTGGTATAAGGTTTCATTGTGTAGCTCTAGATGGCCTGGAACTCCCTATATAGACCAGGCTACCCGTGAATTTATAGAAATCCACCTATCCCTGCCTCCTGAGTGCTGGAATGCCTCACCACCATGCCGGGCAGATTAAACTTCTTACATAATGCTTGGATTTATTTCCTTTTTCTTTGTTTTCTATTCAGCCTCAGAAGAAGAAAGCAAAGGTGGATGTGAGAGCCATTAATGTGGGGACAGATTATGAATACGGTGTCTTAAATATCCACCTGACTGCTTACGACATGACTCTGGCAGAAAGCTATGCCCAGTATGTCCACCGCCTCTGCAACCAGCTCTCCATCAAAGTAGAGGAAAGGTAGGAAGGATGCCTTTGCTTGGGATGCATCTGGGTATCATGCTCCACTTTTCTGTTGTTAGGTTTTGGAAAAATGATGTACAAGTAAAAAAAAGTAACTCTTTAGTTACATACCTGCCACAGTCAAAGTATCAGCCAGTCTCCTCCCCTCCCCCCTGAGGCTCTGGCAACCACTGGTAAGTCAACTAGGTCAGCTTTTAAATCTATTTACTTATTTATTGTGTATGCACTGCTCACAGCCTCAGGGTGCATATGGCACAACATGTGCTTGGAGGTCAAAGGTCAATTTTCAGGAGTCAGTTCTTTTGTTCCCTTATGTGAGTCCCTGGATGTAACTCTGGTCATCAGACTTGGTGGCAGGCACTTTCTCTGCTGGGCCTTCATCTCACTGCCGGGCCTTCATCTCACTGCCCGGCCTTCATCTCACTGCCCCTTCTTCCTGGTTTGTTTCTTTGTTTTTTAAGATTTATTTATTATGTTTATAATGTTGTGTCTGCATGTTTGCCTGCACGCCAGAAGGGGGCATCGGGTCTCATTGCAGATGGTTGTGGTTTCTGGGAATTGAACTCAGGACCTCTGGAAGAAAAGTCAATGCTCTTAACCACTGAGCCATCTCTCCAGCCCTGCTCCTGTTGTTTTATGTTTTCAGAGTATCATATAAATGGAATCACACAGTGGATAGCTGTTCATATCTGACCTTTTCACTTAGCATAATGTGTTTGAGTTCATCCACATTTTTGCAAGTTGTTTTTAAAAAAAATTGGCAAAATATATGTAAAACTAATCATTTTACTACTTTCTAAAGTTTTTCATTGCATTTATGTCTTTATTGTGTCTATGTGGGTCTGGGGGTGAATATGCCAGAGCACAAGAGTGTGGAGGTCAGAGCACAACTTGCAGGATTCCGTTCTCTCCATCCTCCATGTGGGTCCCGGGGCTCAGTTCATCAGGCCTGGTAGCAATCACCTTTACCTGCTGAACTGTCTTACCAGCCCCATGTTAAGTATCTTTAAATATGTGTATGCCCACTGATAGGATACACGTTCATAATGTACAGTTGTTACCACTGCCTGTGTCTGTGACTCTTCAGCTTGTAAACTGAAGTTCTGTACTTAGTCAGCAGTGGTTCTGCTTTCCTGCCTCTGCATAGCCTGTAACTATTGCCCCCCCTCCAGCCATTCTACTTGTTTTCTGTTTTTGATTACCCCGTAGAAGTAGAATTACACAGTATATATATTTTGTGACTGGTTTATTTGGTGAGCATAATGTCTTCAGAATTCATCCATGTTGTAGAATGTCAGATTTTCCTTTTTAGGACAGAATACTCCACTATATGCCATATTTTGCTTACCCATTCATTTATCAATAGATGATTTTGTTTAGGTTTTTTTTTAAACTTGTTTTTATTGATCTATGCATTTTTCCCCACTTCCCTTCCCTCCTCTCCTCTCCCCTTCCACCCTCTCCCATGCCCCCCATGCTCCCACTTTACTCAGGAGATTTTGTCTTTTTCGCCTTTCTAGGCAGATCCATATATGTCTCTCTTAGGGTCCTCTTTGCTACCTAGGTTATCTGGGGCTGTGGCCTGTAGGCTGGTTGTCCTTTGTTTTATGTCTGATATCTGCTTATGAGTGAGTACACATTGTATCTGTCTTTCTGGGTCTGGGTTACCTCACTCAGCATGTTTTTGTTTTTCTAGCTCCATCCATTTGCCTGCAAATTTCAAGATGTCATTGTTTTTTATCATTGAGTAGTACTCCATTGTGTGAATGTACATTTTCTTTATCTGTTCTTCAGTTGAGGGCCGTCTATGTTGTTTCCAGGTTCAGACTTTTATGAATAATGCTGCTATGAACATAGTTGAGCAAATACCCTTCTGGTGTGAGTATGCATCCTTTCGGTATATGCCCAAAAGTGGTATTGCTGGGTCTTGAGGTAGATTGATTCCCAATTTTCTGAGAAACCACCATCCTGATTTCCAAAGTGGCTATACAAGTTTGCACTCCCAACAGCAGGGGAGAAGTGTTCCCCTTACTCCACATCCTCTCCAGCATAAGCTGTCATCAATGTTATTGATCTTGGCCACTCTGACAGGAATAAGATGGTATCTCAGAGTTGTTTTGATTTGCATTTCTCTGATGACTAAGGATGTTGACCAATTCCTTAAGTATCTTTCAGCCATTTGGTATTCCTCTGTTGATAGTTTTCTGTTTAGATCCCTATTACATTTTTTAATTGGATTATTTTGTCTTTTGATGTCTAGTTTCTTGAGTTCTTTGTATATTTTGGAGATCAGACCTCTGTAAGATGTGGGGTTCAGTTTTGGTTTCGTTTGATTGTTTTTTGAGACAGGGTTTCTCTGTGTAACTTTCTGTGGAGCTTGGAACTCACTCTGGAGACCAGGTTGGCCTCGAACTCACAAAGATCCACCTGCCTCTGCCTCCCAAGTGCTGGGATTAAAGGCATGCACCACTACTGCCTGGCTTCAGTTTTGTTTTTGAGATAGTCTTACTATGGTAACATTAGCTGGTCTGGAACTCACTATGTAGGACCACAACAACTTCTCAAACTTATAGCAATCCTCCTGCCTCTGCCTCCTAAGTACTGAGATTATAGGCATGAGTCACCACATCCAACCTGTTTTCTTAAGTGTTTCTTATGTGTTTCTTTAGAAGCGTAGTGTAGTGTTTATTAAATTTGAATTGTCAATTTTTCTTTTATGGTTGATGATTTGGTGTCATGTATAATCTAATCTAATCCAAAGTCACAAAGCTATTTTACTAGCGGTCCTCATTTTAAAGTTTTATATTAAGTCTGATCCATTTTGAATTGTTTCTGTGTAATTGTGTTTGTCCCTTCCTCTTCAAGAGGGAGTTGGTTTCTTTGCCTTTGGTTTTTTGTTGTTGTTGTTGTTGTTGTTGTGTTTTCAAGACAGGGTTTCTCTGTGTAGTCCTGGCTGTCCTAGAACTTGATCTGTAGACCAGGTTGGCCTCAAACTCATGGAGATCCGAATGCCTCTGCCTCCTGAATGCTGGGATTAAAGGCATGCCTAGTGCCTTTCTTTTCTAATATGGCTCTTCATACTATTTGGTGAGAGAATTTTTTTCCTCCATTGGATATCTCCTTATCTTTGTTGGAAGGTAGTGTCTGTTCCCTAAAGTGGTTTATGTTACATTGGTCTATATATCTATGCTTACACAAATACTCCACTATTGCAGTTACTATAGCTTCATTCTTTTTAAAATCATTTTTCTATGATGATCTTTTGTTTGTTTGTTTGTCTTTCATTTAAAAAATAGTATTAACTTGTTGATATTTATACAAAATTCTGCTGGGATGTTTTTGATATTATGTTGATCAGTTTGGGGGAAATTGAAGTAAAAATAATTTTCTCTAATAATTCAGGCATCTTTTGCTTGCTCTCCTTTTCATGCATTCCCTGGATTTTCTGGAAAACACTAGGAGAAGGGAACTAACATTTACTAACTGCCTGTTCCAGGGCAGGTCCTTTTCATACCTTATCTCAGCGTTTCTGTTGACATACATGTCCTGTGGTTTCCCTTAAATAACATTAAGTCACTTGATTAGAAATGGCTTCCCTTTTAAGTTCTTACTCAACTTAATTATGCCAAGGAGACATTCTCAGAGTGGCGCTGGTATATCCTGAACACTGATGTAGCACTTCCTGATCTTTGCTACAGAGAGGGGACCTTGGGCTTGGAATCTTTGGCAAGATGTATTGTTGGAACTTATGGCGTGTTTTTGTTTTCACTGTGTTTATTTTTAACTTGCCTTCTACTTATGTCAGCCAATATGGGTTTTCCTTCACAATAATGACATAGTCAGTTTTCTGTGGTATCATTTACTTTCAGTGAACATGTTCTGTGAGCTTTGACTAATGTACACAGTGGAATTGATTCCATTATAGTCAAGATATAGAACGTTTCTGTCATCCTGAGTTCTCTGTTTCTGTAGTCATCTCCTTCCCACCGAAAGTCCTTGCTAACTTTTTATTTATTTATTTATTTATTTATTTATTTATTTATTTATTTGGTTTTTTGAGACAGGGTTTCTCTGTGGCTTTGGAGTCTGTCCTGGAACTCACTCTTGTAGACCAGGCAGGCTGGTCTCGAACTCACAGAGATCCACCTGCCTCAGCAGGTGCTGGGACTAAAGATGTGTGCCACCACCGCCCGGCCCTTGCTTTTAATCTCTTTCCTTTCCCTGTAGTTTTGACTTTTTCAGAATGTCATATAAATGAAAATATACGGCATTTTCCCATTTGCATATGGAGCTCTTCCCTTAGAATAATATAGTCAAGATTTACCCATATTTGCCTGCATCAAGCATTTTGCTCCTTTTTGTTGCTCAGTAGCATTTCATTAAAAGACTGTGCTGCAGTTTGTTCATTTACCAATTGAAGGACTGTTGTGCTTTCAATTTTTGGCAATTATGAGTAAAGACACCACAAATAGGTATGGGTTTCTGTGAGAACAGAAGTTTCATTTCTAAGTATGAATGTGGTTTATGGTCACACGGTAAGTGTAATGTGTTTTATTTGCAGCAGATTCTGCATGCTTCTGTAAAGTGGCTGCACCCTTACTCCTTCACAACAATGTTTGACTTCCACATTGTTCTGCATCTCACATTTCTTCTTAAAACTAATTTTTAAGTGAGATGATTTGTTTAAAAGGGTAAATAACAGTTTAGGTAGTTTGTTGTTATACCAAGGTTGTAAGTAGATGCATACTTACATGTATACAAAAATGACCATTTCTTACCTTTTTGATATATTCCCATTTTACAGACCTGGAAACCAGGGACCTGAAAGACTAAAGTCACAGAACAAGGAAGTTCTCTGGATTTCAAATCAGTTTTGTCTGGTTTCTATATTTTCAGTTATGTTAGGTCTAAGTCCTTAAGCCAGGTTTGAACTTTTACACCTTCGTAATGTAGAGTGCAGTTGTTAAAAGTGCCCTTAGAGACTTGATGATAAGCTGTGACTTTAGCTCTTAAAGGCAGCAGCACCTTCATTCTTTTAAGCCTGAACATGGGATCTAGCTTTTTCTTATGCCTAGGAGGGCTGGATGTTCTTTAGCACTCACTCAGCACATGCATCTGCCACAGTGTTGCCTGGTGCTCTAATCATTCATCAGTTCCTCTTCCCTGACTGTGCTCCTTGTAGATGGAGACTGTGTTCTTTGTTTCTTTAGCACCTAGCAAGGTCTGCCATATGGGAAACATTCAGTCATCGGAGACTGACACGTTCTTGAATATCTCTACACAATCCAGTTGTATAGGACACAATTCCTAAAAATCAGGGAAAATGCGTCTAATTAATAAAACACTATTGCTGGATCCCTTTCCCATGTGTGGTAGGCTCTGTACTAGACATTCTAACTAGTGCACATGATGGTTAGTGTTTGCAATAATTCTGACTCCAGCAACCACACTAAGTACTTTGCTTCTTTCATGGGGAAATTCCTAGGGAAGTTTGAATATTCTTCTGCCTCCCCCTAGCCCCTCACTTTTTCCCTTTCCCTCTTTCAATCCCTCCCTCCCTCTTTTTCTTTTCTTTTTTTAAAAAGATCTATTTATTTTACATATGAATGCTCTATCTGAATGTACACCTTTATGCCAGAAGAGGGCATCAGATCCCAGTATATATGGTTGTGAGCCACCATGTGGTTGCTGAGAATTGAACTTAGGATCCCTGGAAGAGCAGCCAATGCTTTTAACCACTGAACCATATCTCCAGCCCCCTCCCTCATTTTCTTTTCTTCCGTTGAGATAGGGTTTCATGTAACTTAGGTTGGCCTTGAACTCACTATGTAGCTGAGAATGCTCCTCCCTCTCCAGGTGCTGGGATTAACAGGGTGTGTGCCACTTTGTTTTGGTTAATTCTGTGCTGTGGATTGAATGAGGGCTTCATGCTTGCTAGTCAAGCTCTCAACTGAGCTACATTCTCAGCCCAGCTCCAATTCTTTCTTGGGTGTCATCTTGATCTTTATTTCTTTAAGAAAACTTATTAAATCATTACACTATATATTCAGGAGAAATAAAGGGTATATAAATTTCCTTTCATAACATGCATTCCTTGTTCTTGTATTTATTAACTATGACTTTCAGATTATATTCTGTATTATGTTAAATTCTATAAGGCAAGAGCTGCTTCTTTCTTCGTTAGTGGTCCAATCCTAGGAGCTGGCCTAGTCTGCAGTACATTTGAGGCACAGGATAAATGCTGGTTGATTTGGATTGTGTTCCAGCCTTCATGGACAGCAGGATGAAAGGCATACTGGTTTTTTTCGTCTTTCTTGGCTCTTCGCTGCAAATAGCTCAGCATAAAGAGCTGTTTGTTTTACTGATTCTCTTTACATTGATTGAGGTTTTCCAACTGCTGCATCACTAGGCATTCACATTGCCCAGCTTTTCAGAGATGAATTTGTTTTCTTGTGATTTTCATTTCATTTTTTCTCTGGAGTGAGGATGGAGGTGTGGGGAAAATAGCTGTGACCTTGAGTTGGAATTGGGCTAGAAGAGCAGCTCACCCACCAGCTTTTGTTGTACACGTGGTCTGAATTGGGCAGCTGCCACTCCTCCAGGAGAGGGGAGGAAGAGGCCTCTCTCCTGATTTGCCTGCTTCCCTTGCTAAGCAGCTGACTGGGGGAGGGGGGGACAGAAATACTCATGGGGAGCAGCTTCCAGGCCTGAAGCTGACCAGCCTGTGTTCTGTGGAGTGTGAAAGTCCACTCAACATCACTGGCTGTCTTTACCTTAAAGAAAAAGATCCATCTCCCCCTCCCCCAATGCCCTGCAAAAAGAAAAAGAAAAAGAAAAAAATTGAAGCATAGCTTTGTGCGTTTCTGACTATTCTTGGTTTTGCTTTGGCAGCAAGAAGGACTGAATGTGGGGCCTTATGGCTGCTCCACAGGCCCTCTTCCCCAGCTTTCCCTTGTATTTGCTGTGCTAGGGATGGAGCCCAAGGAGGACCCTGTCAGCTGAGTTGACTTTTCAGATTTTCACTTCTCCCTTTCTGTTTCTGCTGTTAGACCAGCTTTTTATTCATTGTGGAAAAACTGGAACATTAAAGAGAATACAGATAAGTGAAGAAAAATTACCTATACCTATACTACTTAAAGACATATTCTACTTTGGAATGACCAGATTTTTCAGTTATCTTTATTTATTCTTACTTTTCTTAATTATTCAATCAGATGGGGACTCTCTATGTAGCCATAATGGCCTTGAACACCTAATCATCCTGCCTCCACCTCCCAAGAGTGTGTGGGAGTTGGGAACAGATGTCTTTTTCAGTCGGCCTCCACTTTATTTTTTGAAGCAGGGTCTTTCACTGAACCTGGAGCTCAGTGATGCAACCAAATTGACTGGTGAGCAAGTCCCAGGGATCCCTCTGTCCCCACCTCTCAAACTCTGGGAATCCAGGCACTCACTGCTATACCTGGATTTTTTTTTTTTTTTAATTTTTGGAGACAGGGTTTCTCTGTGTGGCTTTGTAGACCACACTGTCCTTGAACTTGTAGAGATTTGCCTGCTTCTGCCTCCTAAGTGCTGGAATTAAAGGCATTTGGTACCACTGCCTGGCTTCTAAATACATTTTTGAAATCATTTTATATGTATGAGTGTTTTAGCATGTAAGTGTGTGTGTCGTGTACATACCTGGTGCCTGCTGAAGGTAGAAGAGGGTATTGGATCCCCTGGAATTGGAATTACTGATGGTTATGAGTTTCTGTGTGGATGCATGGGTCCCCTGGAAGAACAGTTAGTGCTCTTAACAGTCAAACCTTTTCTCCAGCATCCTAAGTACTTTTGTTTTGTTTGTTTTTTGAGACAGGGTTTCTCTGTTTTGCCCTGGATATTCTGGAACTTGCTCTGTAGGTCAGGCAGGCCTTGAACTCACAGAGATTTACCTGCCTCTGCCTCCTGAGTGCTGGGATTAAAGGCCTAAGCCACCACTGCCTGTACATTTTTTATGTCTTGTTACATCACTACTTCATCCCATGAAGCCATCCTTGAACCTTTTTCTCTGAATATTTGAAAAAGTCTTTGAAGGCATAGACTTCATTTGTCCCTAGAATGCCTAGGACAGAACAGGATATTAATAATTTTTATGGTTACATTTATTTATTTATTTGTGTGTGTGTGTGCATGCATGCATGCATGCAAATGAGGGAGGGAGGGGGAGAGAGAGAGAAAGAGGGAGAGAGAGAGAGAGAGCATGACACAGCTGGAGGTTAGAGGACAGCTTGTGAGAGTCAGTTCTCTTCTTCCACAATATAGGTCCCAGAGATTGAACATAGGTTTTCAGGCTTGGTGGCTGGCACCTTTACTGAAAGTAAGCATTGAAATGTAAAACCCATGATAAGTGGCACAAATGGGCAACTTCCTTCATAGTCAGTCTTTTCTGCAAAATGCTCAAAGGGACAAATAACATCAGAGTACCTTCTACTTTTCTCAGAACTTTGACCTCTTATAAAGTGTCTATCATTGTGTCCCCCAAACCAACTTTTTTTTTTTCCAAGACAGGATTTCTCTATAGCCCTGGCTGTCCTGGAACTTACTCTGTAGACCAGGCCGGCCCTGAACTCATACAGACATCAGCCTGCTTCTGCCTCCCCAGTGCTAGGATTAAAGGCTTGTGCCACCACCTCACAAGTCCCCACTTTTTAATATGGTGGATTTTTTTTTACCATATTTGCATGGAGAGAGGTGATCAGAGATTGTGCTGAAGAGTGGAGGGTTGCTACTATTTGGAGTAGCTACCTGAAGGAGTCCACAGTACTTAGGAATTCACCGTTTATCAGGGCAAAGGAACTGGCGTTTGTGGTGTGGTTTGACAGGAGATTGCTGTGTAGTCTCAGTCATTGCAGCAAGCCTGTGAGCAAGGCTGTATATTCTACAACATAACTGAAGAAACAGACACACAGAAAGAAGGCTTAATTGACCTGCCCAGAGTCAAGTATGTAGTACTGGGTAGAACTTGGATTTAAATCCAGGACCATTATGTTTCTGTTCCATTTTCCATCACACTAAGTGTCCTCCAGCAATCCGTCTGTAGAGACTACACCCTTGCTATCATTTGATGACACTGTGGGACTTGGAAAATCAACAACTCTACTGTTGTTATTATTATTTTATTTCTCTTTAGTTTGATGAACTTTTTGGTGAGATGAATGCAACACTAATACCTTATTTCTGTGTAGCCCTTAGTTCAGTCTCACCACCATATCAGATTCTCATTGTGTGCTCACAGAGGCTCAGACTGTAATTGCATTTACACATGAAGCTCAGAGAAGAGAGTGGCTACCCAAGCACTTATTGCTGATACATGGTGGACTCCAAACACACTGCTCTTTTCCCTGTAGAGCTTGGCCTGCTGACACTAAGGGAATAAGCATAGACTTGGCAGTAGTGATTCCCAACCTAGGTGACTGAAATCATTCTGTCCCACTGGAGGGATCCTCATGGCATTCAGTGGGTAGAGGTCAGAATACATAGACCAGCACCTACCATCAGAATTGCCTGGTCTGGAATGTTCCTAGTGCTGATGTTGAAAGAAACTGTCGTAGAACTGTTGGGTATGTCACCTTATTTCTCCAGAGCAAGCACAGTGATCAGGGCTCACCTCCTAAGAATACCTAAGTATTGGGCTGGATTCCCTTAGAACAGGTTCTTCTTCAGTAGCAGCAGACATGTATTATCACCAGGGTTATACTCAGGGTATTGTGTCAGGCAATGTCAAGGGGACATAGAAGGGCACTGAACACTGTTTTCCCTTGGAGTTCAGAGACACCTTGATGAGGTAAAGGTGTCTGCTTAACTCGACACTGGCTGAAGGTAAGCATCCTCTAGGAGATGTGACACAGAGCGTTGGTTGTACACACAGATGACCCTGGTAGATGTGGTGCTCTCAACAGCTAACTCTTCTTCTGCAGTTACGCAATGCCCACCAAAACCATAGAGGTGATGCGGCTACCAGACCAAGGCAACAAAATGGTCCTAGACTCAGTCCTTACCACCCATGAGCGAGTGGTTCAGGTAGGTACTATGGGGGATTCCCAAGTGCTTTTGCTTTTCTGTTTCCCTCCTATCTTTTTCTCCATCTGTCATACCTTTTCCCCCTTGTCCTTCCTGCCCTTAAATGATGGTTTACTCTAGACTCCTCCACCTCTCCTATCATTCCCCAAGCTTCATTGTATACTATTGTAGGAAATTACCAATACGGAAGGCGTGGCTACAGCTTCCCCTACAATATACCAGTACCCCTACGTGTACACACACCCACACACACACACACACACACACACACACACACACACACACACACACACACGTACGTCTGATTTTTTTCAAAATACAGTAGACCTGGTTGTCTACTGGACTTTTGTGGATGCTCTACAATGTACTCCCTAACCTCATTGTATGGAAAACTAATTGTTCAGAACAATTAGTTCCCTTCTTGTAATCCTCTGAGGCCCGTAGGTGAAGTGGGACTTCTGTAGCGCTTGTGCCTTTGTGCGTCCCCTCCTGTTGTTCCTTGATGTCCCTTTCACTGGATCCAGCCACAGGAGCTTATCTGGATGTTCTAATGCTGTTATGCAGTTCACGTTGCACTGAGTGCTGCTCCCTCAGCCCTGAAAACTGACCATGCTGCTATCTAATTCTCTTATTTTCCCCCAAGACTTCACCCAGACATTACCCACTCTTGAAGCTTCCTTTGACCTTTCCTTGATTGAATTAAGTGGTTATTTCTCTTGTGGGTCCTCATAGTACTCTTGTTCATTCCACCGCACATCTGACTCACCTTTGGATTCTCAAGACAGGCCTGACACCAGCACCTGGCCAGTGTGGTAAATCCAAATTGTATCAGAGAATCAGTACTGGTCTGGTTGTGACATTCCCTGCCTACAGGAACACTGGCAAGCAAACATCTCAACAAATAGCAAGAGAAATCCTATGGGGACTGGGCTCAGAGACCTTTTCTGAGTATCAGCCTCTCTCCCACTGGAGCTGTAGGAGAGCCCAGGCCTGCGTGCCAGTCACCTGGCCTTCAGCACCCTCCCTTAGGCATTTTTCTTCATTTGCAGATCAGCGGTCTGAGTGCCACATTTGCAGAGATTTTCTTGGAAATACTCCAGCGCAATCTTCCAGAAGGAGTCAGGTTGTCAGTGAGGGAGGTAGGTGCAGTGTGGAAAGAGGCCCTGGTGGCCTGCGTGTGCTCACAATGCGGCTAAGGAAGGCAGTGCTGCTTGGCTTTTGAAACAACAGAGAAATGTGTGTTTCTGCTGCTATCAGGAGAGCTGTGCAGTGTGGTGGCCCTGTGACCATTACTCTGAGGTGTCAGGGATGCTGGTGTGTGTCCCACAGCAGCTGACCTCCATCACAGCATCCTGATGTTAGTTAGGGTCTGAGCCCATGACCCCCAGATTCTCTCCTTTCAGGCACCGGTAAAACTGAAACATGTTTTAAGATTATAAATAGTATAATGCAGTGGTTCTCAATCTTCCTAACACTGCAACCCTTTAATGCAGTTCCTCATGTTATGGTAACCCCAGCCATAAAATTATTTTCATTGCTCCTTCATCACTGTAATTTTGCTATTGTTATAAATTGTAATGTAAGTATCTGTGTTTTCTGATAGTCTTAGGTGACTCTTGTGAAAGGGTCATTTGACCCCTAAAGGGGTTACAGTCCACAGGTCGAGAACCACTGCATGAGAGCATTACTTTAGAGAGACATTTTCTAGACCGCCACTTGTGATTATAGCTCCATTGAATGTATCTGGTAAAGAATGAGAAGCATGCAGAAATAGCAGCATTAGCCTAAATACTGGATGTCAGGTCTAGTTGCCATGACAATCCTTCTATGACACAGTTCCTTCCCATTAGGACATGTTGGCCTGGTGTTATTGCTTTATCCAGCTCCCCTTGTTCTGTCCATACCTGTCTGGTGGTTATTTCGGTTTCACAGAGATCTGTATATAGGGTGAGAATGTGCTGGTTGTGCTAAAAATACTACAGTCCCTGTGCATGTAGTCCCAGCACTCAGCAGGCAGAAGCAGAGTCAGCCTGGTCTACATAGCAGGATCAGAGTCAGCCTGGTCTACAGAGCAGGATCAGAGTCAGCCTGGTCTACATACCAAGACCCTGTCTCAAAAAAGCAAGCAAGGCTGGTGAGATGGCCCAGCAGGTAAAGGTGCCACATGGAATTGGTAGAATTGACCCCCAAATGTTGCCCTCTGACTTCACATGGGTATGCATGCACACACATGCACAAACACAAAAAATGTAATTTAAAAAAAAACAAAGTTTCTAGACCATATGGCTCAGTGGTAGTGTTTACCTCATATGTGAAAGGCCCTGGTCCCCAACAGGACACAAAACCAAATTAAAACCAAAAATAGCCAGAAAACTTGTGTTGTGATACCTAGAGCATCCTGTTTACATGCCTGTCTTGTCTCAGCACATTAAGAGGAAGTGTGATTCAGCCTCGATTCCTGGTACTCAACTCAAGACATACTCATTGAGAAAGGACTGACTGTGAATGACCAACCCTCTGCAGGGCTGCCCAAGGGCCCTTTTTGGATGTGCATGTGTATGGGTAATCAAAGTTCGGTAGTGATTGATTCTTTTCTTTTCCTTGTCCCAGCACTCTGAAGAAGACTTCAAGGGAAGGTTCAAAGCTCGGCCAGAACTGGAAGAATTGTTGGCCAAGTTGAACTGAACACTGCAGCCCTTTCATGTCATCGTCATTCTCCGAGAAGTTCTCCCTGCGTGGTCAGACATAGCAGGAGAATGAATGTGCACACTGAGGTGCCTCCAGAGTCTGTGACATGCTGTGATTGTCAGTTACCACTTAACCTTAACAAAAACCTGGGGTATTCTCCACCTAATATAAATCTGCTGTTACCACTGTGTGTGTGTAGCAACTGTTCTTTAAGGGATTCTGTTTTTCTTTGTCTAAACATGTTCTCATTCCACAATACTTTTTCAGTTACAGTGAATTCATCCTTTAAAGTGATTTGGTGTTAACTAATTGTTTATTTGTTTGATTCATGGTCTCTTATGTAGCCCTGGCTGTCTGGTAACTTGCTGTATAGATGAGGGTCTGCCACCACCACCCCCAATTGCCACCCTCTGAATGCTGGGATTAAAGGTGTGTGTCACTGTGTCCAGTATGAACTTATCTTTTAAAAGAACATGGCATGGAGTTTGATAATGAATTAGAGATTACAACCTAAGTGAACTCTGTATTCATCTTTTTTTTATATAATGAAATTCCCAAGGCTGGGTTCTTTATAAAGAAAAAGATTTGACCAGTTATGATAATACATACCTGTGATCTCAGTGCTTAGGAGGTAAAAGCAGGAGGATTAGGAGTTCAGTGTCATTCACAGGTACAAAGTGAATTCAAGGCCAACCTGGCTCACATATGACTATGTCTATATACATACATATATACAAGATATTTGCTAAGTGTGGTGGCACATATCATCCTTGTATTCAGGAGGTTGAAGTTCAAATACTTGTAGGAGTATTGCAAGTTCAAAATACAGATCTTATGTGGGTGTCAGCAAACTAAGGTCTATGAATTAAATCCTACCTTTGCCTATATTTCTTTCTTTCTTTGTTTTTTAAAACAAGATAGTCTCACTATGGAGCCCTGGAACTCACCCTGTAGCCCAGGCTGTCCTGAAACTCATAGAGATCTGCCTGCCTCTGCCTCCTAAGAGCTGGGATTAAAGGTGTGCGCTACTATACCCAGCCCTATTTTTGTTTTATATAACATTTATATATCATAGAACTAGTGGTTGTGGGACTTCAAGGAAGGCTCAGTGGGTAAGGATACTTGTTGTCAAGCCTAGTAGTGTCTTTTGGTTCCTGGGAGAAAGAACCAACTCCTGAAAGTTGTCTGCTGACCTCTGGATCTCTCTCTCTCTCTCTCTCTCACACACACACACACACACACACACACACACACACACACACACAAACATACACATAATAATACAATCAAAACTAGCCATTTTAAAATGCACATTTCAGTGTTCTATGGTATATTCACAGTACTGCGTTAATTACCACTTCTTGTCTGGTTCAGTTTCTGGTTAGTCAGTAAAGGTTTCTTGGAAGAGAGTCATGATCATCTACTTAGTGTTTCCTCTGACTGTGCTGGTGCTGCAGTGGGGGAGCTGAGCAGTTTCGAAAACACCGGCTATACTGCCCATTGTAAACTTTGTCAAATCTTCAGCTAAATTACTGTTTTTCAAACTGTGCTCATTAGGGTCTCTGAGTCAGGGTTTTTAAGCAGTAATCACTAGACTCGGCGTCAGGTTTTTTCCTCCTGTAGATAAGGAGTGAAGCTTTGACTTTGCATCTTACCATTTCCTACGATGATGCTATTGTTTCTCTGAGAACTTCTCTGGGCATCAGTGTCTTCCTGTAAAATAGCTATCTTTGTTTAAAAAATAGGTTTATGTTATCTTATTGTGTGAGTGTGTGCCTGTACCCTTCGTGGTCAGAGAAGATTTCAGGTCTCCTTGGATTGGCATTACAGAGGGGTTTGAGCCCCCATTTGGGTTCTAGGAACCTGGAGACTCTGAACCTGGGTCTCCTACAGAGCATCCAGTGTTTTTTTGTTTTTTTTTTTTTCTTTTTTTTTTTAAATTTTTTGAAGATTTATTTATTTATTTATTATGTGTATAGTGTTTTGCCTGCTCAAACACCAGAAGAAAGCACCAGAACTCATTATAGATGATTGTGAGCCACCAAGTGGTTGCTGAGAATTGAACTCAGGGCCTCTCTGGGAAAGCAGCCAGTGCTCTTAACCCCTGAGCCATCTCTCCAGCCCACATCAAGTGTTCTTAGCTGCTGAGCCAACTCTCTAGACCCTAGAATAACTCTCTTACTGAGCTAGAGCTTGTTCTAGATACAGTGTAGCTCTCATCCTCTTACCTGTCTCTCAGGGCATGGATGAGTGTGCCTGTGATATTTGCTCACCGGAGGCAGAAGCAGAAGCAGAAGCAGAAGGGCTTTGTTAGTTCCAGGCTAGCCAGGGCTACATGTCAAGACACTTACCTCAAAACAGAACATAGCCAAAAAACTAAAAACATCACAAAAACAGGTTGTAGATACCCTTAATTAAAATGTTCTGTCAGGGGGTGGGGCTTGCTGCCAAGCCTGATAACCTGAATTTGATCTCACAGTAGGGGAGAGAGCTCCCACAAATTGTCCTTGACTTCCACATGTGTGCTGTAATACATACTTGCCCACACATACAAATATAACAAGTGTGTGCCATGGTGTACATAACACACACACACACACACACACACACACACACACACACACACACAAATCAATATAATTGAAAAACTAAAAAAAAAAAAAAAATGGTGACACTTTAGATACTGTGCTCAGCAGGTCAGGATTTCCCAAGCAAACTGCTCTGAGTGTAGCTAGAATTTTCCAGGGAAGATTGATGTTCTGGTTGTAGAACTGCTTATTGCTGAGTTCTATCAGGGAAAATATAGCAACACTCTCTGTCCAGTGAGTATGAGGTCAGGGGTATATAACAATGTGAAGATTCACAGGTAACGAAATGCATGCACACGTTTGTACACACACACACTGCTACCATAGCATGTGGGCAGTGTTATATGCACTCCTTTTCAGAGCCCGGAAAATGGTCTTCTGGTTACCAAGACATCTTACTTATCAGTATGTGGAAGCAGGACTCATTTCATTCATCCATAGCATATTGCCTTCAACACTTAGCAGCCAGCAGCCCCTGTGACTCTTAGCAATGTCAGGCTAAGGGTCTGGAGAGCATGCTTTGCCCAAGGTCACAGGACTGCTCCTGGCAGAATGGCAGCAGGATTTGGTCCTGTTTTCCCCGTCTGTCCCTTCTTTCCCATCACTGCTGAGAGGTGAGTCAGGCTTATCTCTTAAACAGGAAGCAACTGGATTCTGTCACTTTGGAGCACTTCTGTCACTGACCTAGTTCATGAATTATCCTCCCCCTGGAGTCAGAAGGCTGTTACTCTGCTCTGGGAAATGGAAATGGCTCTTGACATCTGTTCTATCCTGGTGAGAGTTACAGGAGATGGTCTGACCACTAGATCCTCAAGGCTACAAAACAGTTACAAGCTTAACTGGACTCTGCAGAATGAAGGCTGAGGAGAAATGGACTTCCTTAGAATCTCATATAATGAAACCAAATGGAAAACACACCTAGCTCCAGGTTGAAAATACCTGTCCCCAACTCCTTGAAACAACCTTTTGTTTGTTCGCTTTTTGAGACAAGGTTTCTCTGTGTAGCCCTGGCCATCCTGGAACTCGCTTTGTAGACCAGACTGGCCTCGAACTCACAAACCTCTATAAGGAAAAAGCAGACATCCCGGTGTTGTACCTGGACTTGTACACTACTTTGAGGCCTCATGTGTGTGTTGTTTTTACTGGTAAGCTATTGTAACCTCACTGATCTTGTGTTTTCTGATGTGTAAAATGGGGTCGTTCCTTTTGTTGGGAGAGGTTAACTGGCAATTCATTCTAGACTTGCAAGAGCTTAGTGTTAGACCTACTTCCCTTCTAGCCAGTGCCAGCTCCAGCTTACAGGTCCCGGTCCCAGGCACATTACAGAACTTTTAGAAATGGGTTTTTAATCCTAGGACAGGATACTGAAGTCAAATGGTCAGCTTCCCTATTTAAGGGCTTAGTCCTTCTCCTCTGGTTGAGGGTGTCTTACTTTCCCACCTAGGATGCCTGGGAACTAGCCAGCTGTGGATTCTGAAAAGTGTATTTTAGTCACAGAGAAAAGGAATGAATGTGTGTATTTTGGCCATTTGGGACAGCAGCAGTGCTGAGGCCTCTGTTCACCCATTGCCAGGACTAGTGGATTCAAGGAAGAAACCATGAGTGATGAGTACACAATGGGTGTGTCTGAGCTGGACCCACTGGAAACTGTAGGTAGAAGTGGCTGGTTTCGTCTGTGCCTGGATTTCTTTGTGGTGTTTTCTCCTCCACATGCCTCCATCACTCTGACCTGCAGAACCTGAAATGATTCTCTTCACTCCCCTGGAATAACTCATTCTCAGATGTTCTGGCTCATTTCTAGGACTCGCCTCACCAGATAGTGCCCAGATTCAAGAGAATGAAAATTCTTTAGAAAAATGGCTGCTTTAAGGCCTGGCTGGAGCAGAGGAGGGAGCCTGCTTTCTCTGCAGAGGCAGTGTGTACAATTCCAGTCTGGACTCATTCCAGTTCTCCTTGGGTTTCTAAAGTCAGCAGCCACGTCACCTGAGGTTGGGTAGGAAGGAAGAGGATCTTACTCATCTAGTAAAATGCATTACAGTGCATCTTTGTACCAAGCACAAGGCCAAGTATCCAGACAAGGACCTTGCAGGGAGGAGCTAACAAGAGTCTTCCCTAGGCCTATTCAAGAGGAGCACCCAGCTAAGAAGTCTCGTAACCAGAGCTTTAGGGAAGAGTCCCCTAACTCTCGAAACCCAGGCAGGCAGGCTAGCCTTGGCAACCCATCCCAGTAAGACAATTAGAGAGACTGGTTGCTGTGCAAAAGCAGAGATTTAGTACACTGGGAAGAAGGACCTGTTTGACTCTGGGGACTGGGTTGAGCTTTAGGTTTAAATAAAAGAATCAGGACAAGAGTTGCACATAATCAGGCAGACCTATTCACAGCGTAATCTCTTTGATCTTTGTCTCAGCTCTAGTTCTGTAGTGTTCTGAAAAAAATCTTTGAGGCTGGAGATATAATTCAGCAGTTAAAAGCACTTATTGCTCTTGCAAAGGACCCGGTTCAGTTCCCAGCCCCAGCACTGTGGCTCACAAACATCAGTAACTTCAGCTTCAGGGGATTAGATGCTCTCTTCTGCCCTCGGTGGGCACCAGGCACACACAAACACAAACATGCAGGCAAAACATTGATGCATATAAAATAAATCCTAATTAAAAAGAAAAGTGTGGTTGGCCCTGGTAGCACACTCCTTTAATCCCAGCACTCGGGAAACAGATGCAGATTGAACTCTATGAGTTCGAGGCCAGTCTGGTCTACAGTGTGAGTTCCAGAACAGCCAAGACTACACAGAGAAACCCTGTCTCAAAAAACAAAAACAAAAAGTCCTTGTTGCTTGGGTAGACATGCTGATTCTTATACGATCTTTATATTTATTTGGCTTTGTTCAGATAGAACTCTATACCCCAGACTGGCTTACAACTCAAGTATAACTCAAAATGGCTTCAAACTGGCAATTCTCTTGCCTCAGCCCTCTAAGAATCATGGGTGTGAATCCCAAGGTGTCTGGTAGGAGACACCTGGGTAGCTGGAATTTCTGTATCTCACCAGCCAGCTCCCAAATCATCACACAGAGACTTATTAATTATAAAAGGTTGGCTGATAGCTTGGGCTTGTTTCTAACTAGCTCTTTTTTTTTTTTTTTTTTTTTTTTTTTTTTTTTTTGTTTTT